TGCTCTTTCATCTCAAAGTTCCAAGTTGGCAGTGAGAACTGCCGGACCTCCACATCATGATATGCTCGTTGCAGATACTTGCTCAGGTTTCCTTCATCCGCATAGACTTCCCAAAACTTGAGCTTGCGCTCGTGTTGTTGGCTTTTCGTGCTTGCAGCGAAGACAAACTCCTCCGCTTCTTTTTCTGACACCTCGACGTCAAGGTCGGCCTCAAAGTCAGAGACCTCATCGGTGATCATTGAGTCCACGAAGGTCTCCACAGAAACGTCGATGTTGTCCAGCTCTGCAAAGCTCAAGACGTCCTCAAGGTCGTCAAAGATGTTGATCATGTAGTGCCCGTTGGTTGTGAACGCTGGCTTCACCTGCACGTCACCGATCATCACAGTTTTTCTTCCATAGTCCACCACCGTCTGCCAAGATTCAAGATCTGGGCGTGCCAAAAGCAAAGGTGTGTGTCCTGGAAGGACGTGCACAATGAGTTGTCGCCAGGTCTTGCCAACGCAGACAGGGATCATCGCTCTGAAAAGCGATCTCACCATGGCACCATCTCCAAACCTGAAATCCTTTGTTTCCTTGTCGATGTCAGGCTCCATGTTCCTCAAACTGAGGTAATCCAAGATCTTGTTCCAGTTGGCTTCACCACAAACTGTGCGAGTAGCTCCACTGTCCATGATAGCCCAACCAACAGCTTGGCTGACAAAGTTGATGCTCTCATGGGTGGTGTAATCCACTGGGATCTGGTTCACCTCGCTGACAAAGTTGTCCTCCACCATGGTGACTTCATCAGGGACTTCCTTGATGCCGTTGGCTGGAAGCCTGTAGCGCTTGAATCTTGGGCCATGTTGAGACGTGCTTCCACTGGTTGTGGACTTTGCAGATGCCGTCGTCGAAGAAGTCGTTGTAGAGTCACCTGCACGCCGACGTCCAAAAACGTATCGTCGTGCACCAGGCAAGGGGTGTCCTTTTCCAGCAGATTTGCCTTTTCCTCCGCTGCTCTTTCCACGGCCTTTTCCTTTTGACTTGCCCTTTCCACCAGAGGCTTTTCCACGCCCCTTGAACGCACCACCATTGTCATCCATGCCGATGGCAACCACAGGGTAAAAACCTCGGCTGAGAGCGAGTTCTCGCATCTTCTTTCGTGAGTCCAAGTAGTTGATGAATGCATCCTCCACTGCAAGTGAGGCTTCATCCAGTTCTTGCGGAACATCCTCATCAGCTTCACCCGTGTACTCCACCTCATCAATGGTGTCGTCATAGTCAGGGTCATAGCCGTAGGCGTAGGTGTCATCATCCTGGTAGTAGACATCGTCAAAGCCATAGTCCTCAAGGTCTTCATACTCAGCATCCATGTAGTGAATCTCACCTTTGAGGATGGAGTCCTTGGCGTTCGGCTTGCTGTCACCGCCAAACATTCGGATCAAAGCTTTGGAGACTCGGTCAACTGACATGTCTCCGTTGCACATCGCTTTGACCTGGACATGGGTCCACCGCGGCACTCCAGACCTTTGCAAAAGATGCCAACCAGCAAGAAGGGGTGGTATGTCCACCTGGAGCTCTTTCAACTTTCGAAGCATCGATTGATGCCTCACCAAGTAGGCTTGTAGTTCTTCACCTCGTTCTCGGGCAAACTTCTCAAAGAACTCTTGGCACCGCTCAGGGAGTTCTACTTCTTCTTCATGTTGAAAAAGTTTGTCCAAGACGACCAGCAAGGGTTTGAAGGGATCCTCACTCAGCTCCATGTCATCGTAGTCCAATCCCTCTGTTGCTTCCCATGCTACGTCTTGTAGTTGTGAGAGAACTAGATAAGCTCCTTCAAGAGCTACTCCTTGACCTCGTCTTCTACATTGCCGGCTGAACAGGTCAAGTCTCCTTCTGAAGGACCTGTATGTGGACTGTGTCAGTCCAGCAGCAGATGGTGCTGCTTTGGCCAAACCTGAGTCCAAACCACGGCTGAACTCGTTCTGACCTTGAGCTCCATTTGCTATTGCTCCACCATGTTGAGGGCCATTAGCACCAGCAGATCCACCTGGTACTGCAGCTCCTCCAGGGTTGTTGGCACCGTCAGATGCTTGCCCACCAACCATCGTTGCCACCGAAGTCAAAGGCAAGGGTGATGAACAAGTTCAGGACGAAGTACCTGCGGCAGCCCAGATTGGGCTCCGCTACCAATATCGATCTGGTAGTAGGGGGCCACAGAGAAGTTCCCTTACCCAAACCAGATCTCCCAAGCTCCACGCACTAAGTTGCAGTTGGGTCTCACGTAGTTGTTTTCCTCGATGTCGCAAGAGCAGTTAGACTGCCTGTAGCCTTGCTATCGCTCCAAGGGCGCCCTGTGAGCCCAGAGCAACAGGTGAAATGACAGTTGCATGTGCTTGCAACCTGAAGAAATGAAAACACTCATGCATGCGACAGCTGGCATCGACATATATATATATATAGAGCTATAGGATATAGGTATAGGTATTGGATATTGGATATTAGATATAGATAGACAATTTCGTTTACTCAATTCACGAAAGGGCCAAACTCCAAACGTATCGCGTTGTTCACCCGCTGCTCCGCCCTCGGCGCCTGAGATAACCCATGCAACTTGGCCTGCTGCAGCAGGAGACTACACCATGTCGGGGTCCGCCTGCGGAGAAAGCACGACTTCTATGAACAGAAAGTTGGGGATATCTAATCATTATATATCTAATATGAATGCTTAAAAATGCTTAATATCTCATTGTCCATTAGATGTTTTATGGTTTAATAATAGTTAACATCTCAATTAGTCAACATTAGTCAACATTAATAGATATCGCAAATCAGAAACATTGGACAATGGGGGGATTCCCAGCCTTCCACGGGTGATGATGGCCAACAAACGATCAACGGCGCCACAGCGGACGATCACATTCCTAGGCGGCCACTGGAGGTTTCCATGGGCCCCAAATGGTTGGATGATAAGTTGATAAAGGAAAATCCGATTAAAATGGGGTACCTCTGTTTCAGGAAACCTCCATACTAAGTGGAGGTGCCTCACTTTTTCCAACCTGCTCAGGTCATCCCACATCCTGCATCATCCTGATATGTGATTAACCGTCCTGCTGAATGCAACATCAAAAGCGGGCGAACTTGCCATTGAGTCTCCAAACCACGCCACTCACAATTGGCACCAGGAAGGTTGAGTCAGAGTCTGAAGTTGATTGAGATATGTCAGCCAAAATCAGCATCAATCGAGCACCTGACGGTTGGAGACAGGCGTATGGTCGACACACAATAAGTGAGCTAACTGGACGATTGCCTCACCGAACATGAAAATACGTGAAAGTACCAATGCCAATGACGTTTCAAGCATGAATACCTGACCCCTATCAATGGCCTTTATTCTGCTACCATGCAACATTAAATCATTGCAGTACCATTTTCACTGTTCCAAGCATCATCATGGCTATCGGCTATCTGTCATGTCGCCTGTCCTGGCCTTCTGCCATACCATGAACCATGCAGATCTGAGCAGAGACCACAATGCCCTGGTTGGAGTGATGATAGGCTCTTCTGACAGATTTCTCCTGGCCACACCCTGCAACCCTGGTCCTCCTGTCATGGATTCCCAACTCCTCTAGCCGCTATAGCCTATTTCCCAGTCTCCTGAACGAATTCTCGCACAAAGGTTCGTTCGAGGATCAGGAGGCATCCAATTTCATAGGCACCCAGCATCGCCGGCATCAACGTGCCTATCGCAAGAACCACAAAGCTGACGCTTGCATTGCTGTGACATGGGATAGGGCATAGGCTATGGCGTACATGTGCCGGGAGCGTCTATGCATGTATCTATAATATGCATGTGAATGTATGGACACAGTATTGTATTGTATATCATTTGACTACCTCATAATCATAATATGATATCAAAAGATATTGATATTATGCTATCAATGTTGCAGTATATCATACCGTATCATATCATTTTCTATACCGCTAGAGGACTGACGTTTGCCCGAAAGTGACAGAATTCCATGCAGGACTGCAACCTCTGTTTTTTTGATGCAATTATTTTTTCAAACTGCGAACGTGCAAAATACATCAAAACGTTGATAAATAGTGATATTTGTTCGATCTAGTTGCGTTTTTGCGCTTACACAGAGCGCTGCCAAAAACACATTTTTGAACCATGTCTTACGGTAAACACATTCTCCGTAATTTGGGTGAAGGAACCTGCCAAAACCCTAAGCCGTGAAATGAAAAAATGCCCCAACTCTAGATTAAACATAAATAACTCCTTGAATGATCGCATGAAACAACACTAAACAACCCCAAATAGCACCAAAAAAACACGAAACGAACCTAAATAAACCAAACCTAAAGAAACCCTAAACCAACCCTAAACCGACCCTAAAGAAACCCAAAACCAACCCTAAAGAACCCCTAAACCAACTCTAAGTAACCCCTAAGCCCAAAACCAACCCTGAAGTATCTAGACCCTCAATCGAACTTTGGGAGAACGTCCGCCCATGATGGATACTCGCTGCTGTGCCTAGCCAAGGACCAACAAAGCGCTTTGCTACGCTGTAGGCGGTGGTCACTGCAAAGAAACCCATCTCGGAGTAGCTTTTGCCATGGGAAAAAACATGCTGATCCCATCACAGTCTCTGCAGGGATTCTGCACCCCAATGATCACGGAAAAATACTGTCATTCACCAATGATACAGAATGAAACATTTTTTGGGCTGACTTCCCTTGAAACATCTCTTTATGCCAAGGTGCCACCGCCACACCCAAAGTTGCAGGCCCCATCTTTTGGGAGTATCGAGGGTTCAGGGGCGGTGGGTAATTCGGGGGCCCAAGGTTTTCTGCCACGAAGATGATGACCAAATGCCCCACGCCGTAGATAAAAATGAAGCCAAGGTGTTCGTGCTCTTCACCCACATACCTTGGAAAAGCAAAATTTGAAGCGAAAGTCGGAGAAACAATCTAACACTAGTCACTAGACTATAGCCAATTTCGAACTCACAAACTCATTTACAAAGATAGTACCGAAATGTAAGTAATGGTGAAACAAACATGACAGTCTATGTTTTTCATGCCGTATTTAGAACGTTCAAACCTTTTGGGATGGCTGTTCAGACCTTCAATTTGGGCAGTGGTGGATTTCGGATTCTGTCTTCACTTGGGGAGGGTTGGGATCAGGTTTTCGGCATGGCGTTTCAAGACTGAGTTCCCCGGCATTTTGCGACCTATGCGACCTATGCGACCTATGCGACCTATGCGACCTATGCGACCTATGCGACCTATGCGACCTATGCGACCTATTCGACCTATGCGACCTATGCGACCTGGGGCTCTCACTCCCCTTTTAGCAAAGATTTTCAGCCAACATCACTGGAATTTCACGGCAAGGCTGTCCTACAAAAAATATGTGAGTGCCACGATAGGTCCAAAGCATCGCAGGTAAGTGTTTGGTCACATACTGAATCTAGTCTTAATGTGACGAGTGATTTGGTTGCAACAGCAGTTCCAGCTACAACAGCTACAACCAGTTTGCTTGATAACTTTCAAAGCGCTTAGCTGACTCACAAGTTTCTCCCCGGCACCAGGCAAAGTTGCACACTCACAAAGGCCACATACAGCAAGAAATAAAGGGAAGGCAAAAGAACCGTGGCCACAAAAACGCGCCCACGACTAAAACCTGTTTGTTCCGCCATTTCAAAGGTTTCGCCAGGGCCCAATGCTGTCCTGGCACAGGCTCGCACAGAGTGCCAACTGCTTGGAATATCCTGCTTCCCCACCAAGTACTCCCAACAAGTGGGAATCTTGAACCTCACAATGGAAAAATAAGGTAGCTGGCCACAATGCCTGCTACGAGAGGGAATAATGATATGACCCGACGTCCCTACTCGCAATAAACAACCTTGTAGAAACTTTGGTAATAACCAGAAATGCGGCCTACCCACCACGTCCAGAAAACTCCTCCAGCAAACCAAACTCGAATTGCCAGGTGCATTGCCATAGACACAATAGCCCCGCAAGTTACTGAACGAAACGCAATGCAACGGCAGAAAGTAGAACGCCATCCACGCCAGCGCCCGGAAGGACAGCACAAACCAACGATTTTTCGGCAGCCCTGCGGTTGGAAAATGCACATCGACATGCAGCTTACATCTACCACGATTCATCAAAACAACATTGGGTTTCGGGATGTGATGATGATTTAAAAAAATGCGGTGAAAAGGACTGTACAATGCGAAATCTGAGCCCACAGAATGTCATGCCATTCCTTGCATGGAAGCTGTAACACACAGAAACCACACACACACACATACACAGACCCTGCAGTTCTTCGCATCCCAATCTGTGCCTGGCAGTCCGGCCTCTGAAATGCTCAACGCCATCAAACCTGCAGTGGCTCAAACAGGTTTAGCCCAAAACGGGTACCCTCCAGCAAACAAAAATGGCAAATGAAAACCTCCTATAAATGAAGGTTCCATGGGAAAATCAACTATGAAAGATATGAAAGGGAAACTGTCCATTGCCGTGTTTGCAAAATTCCAAGGTTCCGGGACAAAAACGAATCGAGAGTGCATATCTTGTTCCAAGCGTATTGGAGTAATGGGTCCAGAACACACCGGAATTGGGAGTTGTTTTTTGGAACTCCGGTGTTCACAAGCAACTGTGCAAACCGCACCTTTTCCTTTTTCACAACAGATAAAATTGGTCTCATGTGTCCACGCCGCGTATTGACACAAACCACGTCCAACGATTTCGTTGAACATTCCCAAATCCAAACGATCAACCTTTCAAACTGCAAGGCTGCATTTGCCTCAACGTGCGTACCATCAGAAAACATATCACGAGTCCCAAAATCCCAAAACAAGGTCAGCACACCACAACTTTGAATGCAAATTGCAACTGTGGGCACCTGCGAAAATGAAGGTGCTTGAAATCAAGCTCGCCAAACACGTGTCGCGGTATGTTGGAAGGCATAGCTGCAAAGGATCTTTTGGAGTGGGGGCCTTCGCGGCAATCGTGTGTGAAAATGGGGAGTGTGCACTGTTTCCAACCTCACAATTTGGAAGCACGAAGTGTGTTGATGGAATGATGG